CTTTGAAATTACGTACATCACTTCATATTATTTCACTATGTTTATAAGCTATGTGAAATAATTTTGGAAATTGCTGTTTAAAATCTACTCAAATTTCCAAAGGGTTTTAGAGTGTCAATATCATATCAATTAATATCATTTTGTATATGGTTGTTTGGCACTAAACGTTTCTAATAGTAAATTAGCAATTTATTAGTGCAAATAACTCATACCTTTTGCATAATATTAATAGAATGTATATTTTAATAGTGCATAAATATGGCTCACTTCATTTCAATCGTTTTTTATAAAAATGAAATTGAGCGAAAACAAAAAGCAAAGCCAAATAAAAGTACAAGAATCAACATTGAACTGCATTAAAATGAAAATAAAGGAGCACGAATTTCGATTTGAAGCAATACCTATAATTATTGTACCATGGTTTTAGTCCATGGTGGAATAATACCAGGTGNTCGCTTATAATTCGAATATTCAAAAATTATATTCGAGAGTAGCTAACAAAGTTGTTCAAAATTGCGAAAATTTTGTTAGGGATGAAAATCCTGATCAATGCAATTCGGTTGTAGGCGGGATAAATAGCGATCGATTAGAACTAATATGGAAGGATTTTGACGCTGAAGTTCAGAAGCACACTAGGCCAGGAAATCAGATAGCATCTGCAATTGTAGAAGTGGAGAGCCTAACGATCCACTGGTGTGGTGGCACCAAAGAAAACATATTTATCCCCGATNGGAGAGCCTGTCTTACAGCGGAAAGATTCTTCCGGAAAGCCTAACGATCCACTGGTGTGGTGGCACCAAAGAAAACATATTTATCCCNGGGAAGTTTTCGCCCCTTAGATATTTTTCAAAGGGTAAAGGCCAGAGATATTAAAAATAATTACCCTTTTTGACTACAAAAGGGGTAATAATTTGAAGTTTCTTATTTAATACATAAACATAATATTAAAAATTACTTTTTCAAAAATAAAAGAGCCATTTAAATTAACTAAATTTAAGCATAATTATTTTTTATTCAAATTAGATATGTAGTAGCACAGAATAAACAGTATACAGAAGACGCATGTCGACTATCCAACCAATTTGAATTTATGGCACGAGCGGTGAGGCAAGCAAGGGTATCACAAGCGGCGCTGCCTTTGTTACTTTAGCAGTATTTTCACTCGGCTGACGATGTTAATTCCATCGTCGCTATGACGACAAGATGTTAACTACGTTTTCCATCACGATCAGCGTTGCCGTTTTGGTACAATTGTATATTTTTTAATACTGTTTTTCTAAATTTTAATATCTGATCCTTTTTTGTTCCCAAATGCCGTATTTTGATACTTTCGGCTGGCAGAAATGAATTTTCGAAAACTATGAATAGTACTACTAGNATTGTTAGCGAAAAACGCGAGAGCCTGAAAGCAAGTAAAGTATCTCAAATTGTTTTTTAAACTATAATTTAGGTAACAATGATTTTTAAACAACTTCCTGATCTTTTTTTAAACTAAATTTAATTCATGATCTCTAAAGTATATGTATAAGCCAAATGAATGGATTGTATACTATACAAAGTATACAAATGCAAAATGAATTTAATTCATGATCTCTAAAGTATATGTATGTATGAGCGAAATTAATTGAATGTACACTAAAAATGTATACAAATGCAACGTGAATTTAATTCATGATCTCTAAAGNGAAAAAGTATACAAATGCAAAATGAATTTAAGTCATGATCTCTAAAGTATATGTATACGCGAAATTAATTGAATGTACACTAAAAAAGTATACAAATGCAAAATGAATTTAATTCATGATCTCTAAAGAATATGTATAAGCGAAATTAATTGAATGTACAATAAAAAAGTATACAAATGCAAAATGAATTTAATTCATGATCTCTAAAGTATATGTATAAGCGAAATTAATTGAATGTACACTAAAAAGCATTCAAATGCAAAATGAATTTAATTCATGATCTCTAAAGTATATGTATAAGCGAAGTTAATTGA